GTTTTTAATACAATGTATTTGACTGTAAGTTTATAAGATTTAAATTTTAATATTGGCTATATTTAACAACCATAAAAATTCCTAACAATTTCAAGAATCAGCTCTTAGGAGTAAGTACCAGCCTACTACAGTCCATCACTGTATATATTACTCTTTTCCAAAGAATTGAAATGATAGGTATTAATCCAGTTTTCACCATTTCATTCTGGTACATAAAGTATGAAAATCTGTAAATAAAGCACATAAGACAAAGCAGTACCTCCTGAGGAATTGTATGATATGTAAGAAATAGTAAGCTATTTAGGAATTTTTAAATCAACTTTACATAACTATCATCATATGGCTATACTGAAATAATTATAAATGGTAATCAGTTTCTTTTTTAATATTGATCAAAATGATAAATATTGATCAAAACTATAAAATGGATTTTCATTAACGTGGCTAGCACATAAATAATAATTATCTAAGTAAAAGTGAAATTATTTAAGGGCTATATAAAATATGAATGAGGGAGAAATATTGTCTGTCAAATGTTCTTCTGAAAGAAAAAGAGAAAAGCATTTTGCAAACTTCATCTCATAAGGGTAAGATATATCCAAAATACATTAGGAACTTTAAAATTCAATAACACTATATATATGTAATATGAATTGAAATGCATTCTGCTGTCATATATAACAAATTAGAATAAATTTTAAAAATAAAATAAAATTGAAAAAAAAATACCAGCCATGTGTGATGATGCATGCCAGTAATCCCAGCTACTCAGGAGGCTGAGGCAGAAGGATTGCAAGTTCAAAGCCAGCCTGGGACTGACAAGACCTTATCACAAAATAAAATTTAAAAAGAGCTGGGGAGGTAGCTCAGTGGTAGAGCACCCCTGAATTCAATCCCCAGTATTGAAAAAATAAATAAATAAAACTCAATAACAAAAATCAAATCATCCAATTTAAAAATGTAAGTAGACAGTTCTCAAAAAATTAAGCTCAAATAGTTAACAAATTTATGTAAAAATGCTCAACTTCATTAGCCTTCAGGGAGATGCAAGTCTAAAACCACAATGAGCCAGATACAGTGGCCCACGCCTGTAATCCTAGTGGTTCAAGAAGCTTAGACAGGAGGATTGCAAGTTCAAAGCCAGCCTCAGCAAAGGTGAGGCGCCAAGCAATTCAGTGAAATCCTGTCTAAATAAAATATAAAATAGGGCTGCGGATGTGGAGTTCAATCCTTGTACCAACCAAAACTAAACAAACAAAAAAAAAAACACAGTGAGATATCATTTCCCTCCAGTTAGAAAGGCCATTATCAAAAAGTAAAAAAAAAAATAATAAATTCTGGTAAGGATGTGAAGAAAAGGAAACTCTCATATTCTCATATAAGGTTGATGGGAATGTAAATTAGTACAGCTGCTAAGGAGAACCATTCCTCAAGAAACTAAAAATAGATCTACTATATGATACAGCTGTCCCATTTCTAGGTACATACATTCAAAGGAAATTATATCAGCAAAGCAAAGAGACATGGGCTGGGGATGTGGCTCAGGCGGTAGCGCGCTCTTCTGGCATGCGTGCGGCCCAGGTTCGATCCTCAGCACCACATACCAACAAAGATGTTGTGTCCGCTGAGAACTAAAAATAAATAAATATTTAAAAAAAAAAAAAAAAAAGCAAAGAGACCTGAGCCACCATGTTTGTTGCTATACCATTTGCAATAGCTAAGATACAGAATCAACCCAGATGCTCATTATGGATGAATGGATAATGAAAATGAGACTCAAGTACACAATGGAATAGTATCCAACCATAAAAAGGAATGATATCTCATCATTTGCAGCAAAATGAACGGAACTGGAGGACATTATGCTAAGTGAAATAAGTTAGACACAGAAAGACAGATACCACACATTCTCCCTCACATGTGAATATATTTTTCTTTAGTCAATTAGAATGTATAATAGTGACTACTGGAGGCTGGGAAGGGTGGAGAGGAGTACATATATGCAAGTTGGCTAACAGATACCCAAACACAAGTAGATAGAAGTAACATGTCTACAGAACAGTGGGGTGATAAGTTTACAATGACCTATTACATGTTTTACAAAGAATAAAAAGAGAGGATCTAAAAGGCTCCAATCACAAAGCAATGATAAAAAAATAGAAATATGAATCTCCATGATTCATTCAGTACATATACTGAAATATCACAAGGCACACCATAAATATGTTTAGTAATTACATGTTAATCAAAAATATCTTCAAATGTTTAAGGAGACAGAAATATTAACTATCCTGACTTGACCATCACATACTGTATACATGTATAAAATTATCACATTGTACACTGTCAATTCATATAATTAAAATAATAATTTTTAATATCATGCTAAGTGAAATAAGCTAAACTCAGAAACCCAAAGGTCAAATGTTTTCTCTCACATGTGGAAGCTGGAGTAAAGGAAAGGAAAGGGGAAGGGAAAGATAGGATAATGTAAAGAATCAATCAAACAAATTAATAGATGAACAAAAGGAAGTCAAGTAGAAGAAAGAGAATGGGAGGGGGTAGGGAAGATAGGAGGGATGGAGTAGGGGATCGTGAAGTGAAATCAATCTCCATGCATGTTTGAGTTTGTCAGGATGAACCCAACTACTATGTATAACTATAAGCTCTAATAAAATAATAACAATAATGTTAATTTTTTTTAAAAAAAGAGAAAAGCAACCTGCAACTTTGAAATGCATTGTCATACAGAACTCACACAACACCTGACCAAGAAATAACTGTGAGCCTCTTTAGGGGGGAAAAAAAGGTAATTCAGTTTGGAAGAATGGGGGTTCACTCTTGCCACTGGACAGACATGCCACCATTGCCTGAGCTACAGTCAGTGGGAACATGCAGACTTGTGCTAAAACTTGTCCCTTCACTGCCACAGAGGGAAAGAAGGAACTGCTGAAGGTCCCAGGCCACCTTCTTACTTCTCTGGAGTTGCTGCCATGGAAAACCAGGTCAGGTGGGCACGAGAACCAGACGGGTGTGAGGCAGATCCTGGCTTTACATTGTGCTGGTTGCAAAGGGGCAAGTCACTTAAATTCTTTGAATCTCAGTTTCCTGAAATATAGAAGATAAAAAAGAATATCTTATCAAGTACAGCTGAAGATAAAACACGCAACACACTTCACTCGGCAGAGGGTCCACTGTTCTAACTAAAACCATAAAACCACCTAGGGATGTATGAAGACGAGTTTCTTTCCTGCTCACCCAGGGACAAATAGCCACTTTGAAAATAGCAAAGAAGGATTCTGGACTGTTCAATTAGATCTTCTCCCAGTTTTGTTGGTAACATGATCCAGAATAGAGGATGTTTTCTGTATTGGTTCCCGTCCTTCCTCCTGCTATGTCAAGAGCTACACTAAACTCCAAACACACAACGTTGAAGAATAGCCGTGGTAACAGCTGCAATAGGAATAGTGATAGTTTTAAAAAAAAAAAAACTAACTTATTATGCACTGACTGTTGGATAAAAGAAAGGCTTCTGCCTATACTAATTGACACTTTGGTGTAGGGGAACATATTTACATAGTAATTGCTTGGGTAGAATTTTCACAGGTTTTTGCCAACCCCAGAAACTGTGCCCCAATGGAACCTAAATTGGCAAACAAATTCATAAGCAAATCTATATATCAAAAAGTTAAATTAAAACAGATTTCTTTTACTTTCTCTGAATAATTCTGTCTAACTGTCTTTGGGGTGTGTGCAGGGGCAGGGGAGAGCTTATCCTGAATGAAGTAGACATTGGTGAAGAAAATGTGGTCAAGAGAGGGAGTAAGAATATTACAGATAAGTGATTTGACAATAGTTGGGATATAATTAACTTGAAGTTAACAATACAAGGTAGAGTTTGTGCTCTTTAACTTATAAATCAATTTAGATTAGTTGAAATAAGCTGTCACTTAGGATTGGTAATGGATATTTTCTTTTTAAACTCTAATCTTCCTCATCTTTCCACTTTTCACCAAGGAACAATAAATTTTAGCCTGGTAACCATGAATTTGATAATAGAAGTGTATGAGTCTTTAAATAGTTGAACAACACCAATAGGTATATATAACATTTTCCTGCAACAAGACTGCATAGGCTAACTTAAGTTGACAATGCTTCTTTGCTTTCATCAGGAATTTTATGAAGTTATTGCAGTAATTGGTTATCTTAAGCAGATTAGCTATCATTAGCACCATGGAGGCTACTGATGAAATATTGTGTCAAAACCAGGGGCTCCTGTTAAGGGGAGGGAGGCATTGTAATACAAGACCTCTGGGGCTGGGGTTGTGGCTCAGTAGTAGAGAGCTTGCCTAGCAAGTGAAAGACACTGGGTTCCATTCTCAGCATCACATATACATAAATTTAAAAAAAAAAATCCATTGACAACTAAAAACTATTTTTTTAAAAAAGGCCTCTGCTTCTTAAAAGCTTAGATACCAAGCTTAGTTGCTAAGTATGTTGTGTTTGACATAAAATAACTTAGCTAATCCAGCAATATAATGCAGAAATAATGTATGAAAAAAAATTCACAAATTTCCATGCATCAGTGTACATTGCTTCAGGAGAATAAAAGAGTTTTCAAAACACATTTGTGTTTCAAAAATGCATGTAGTTATATAAAAGTCCATTTGAACAGCCTAGGTGTTACATCTTGGACTTGTGGGATCCCAGGGAAAGAGTACACTTGCATTTCAACTATAGTTTTAATCTGAGGTTTCAATGGACAATACTTTTTTTTTTTTTTAGTGTATTGTTTCTACTCTTAAGGTGTGTCTGACAAGAAATGTTCTTAGATTGTCCTCTGTAATCTCAGTCTTATATATGTCATTTCTGTAGGGGCTTAAAATAATTTGATGCATGACTTTTTCCCTCCAGTGTTTCTTATATTTCTCAGTAAACTATTTTGGTCCCTTCTTTTAGCAAAGTCATGAAAATTAATACATAATATGTTGTTCATACAGAATTATGAAATTTCATGTGGCCAAACGGAAATTTAAGGAAACATTACGCCCATATGATGTAAAAGATGTCATTGAACAATATTCTGCTGGTCATCTCGACATGCTATGTAGAATTAAAAGCCTTCAAACACGGTAAGCAACAAAAACGTTATTCATTGTAAAGGAACAAGCATGAAAACCATCTGGGAGCAACTTCTCTTTAGCAGACAAAACCTCTGGATTCCATATTCCTAATTTATTTTTAGTGGGCAACTGGACTTTTGTTTTAATGTAGATTTTACTTTGCTTTTAACATAGATGTAAATCAGCCACTAAAAGTCTCCTGCCATCTCAGTCTCCTCATCTGTAAAAATGGAGAGAACGATAGTGCTTACCTCCTGGGGTGATTCTTAGTATTGAACAATTTAATACATGTAACTCATATATGTAATAGCCCTGGCACTGAGTGTTCAATAAAAGTCAATGAATGTTGCTGATGTATGAATTATTGCCGATGTTGCAATCCTTTTGTTGTTTTCAAAATCAATCAATATTAAGCTAATCTTTCTCCTTCACTAAGTTTTACCCAACTATCTAGCCCAGGAAGACAGACCTTTCTCTTCTCTGACCTCTTGCAGCACTAAAGTCTAATACAGAGCCAAGGCCCACTCATAATCTTGGTGTGATAGACCAGAGAGTTGAGACTCAACCCCTGTACTGTTATTTGGTTGCAACCGTACTCCCCCTGGCAGTCCACTTAGGTAGGGCCTTTTCTTTGTTGCCTTCAGGTACAGTGATAGATAAATGTTTTTCTTCCAGTGAGCTCTTATTGAATGATTGAAATGAATGATGAGTTCAACATGTTAATTCCAACCACATGTGGTTGATTGTGGCATCTTCAAGCCAAATATTTAGTCAATTCAGGTTTTTTAAAGAATCTTACTTTATATTCAGACAAAAAAAAAACATTTGTGATTGAACAGCTCTTAAAGTGCAAGGACCTAGGATTAAATGGTTTTTGCATCCCCACAGAACACCTTAGCTTAGAGTGAATCATATACCAGAACTTTAGTAAAATGCCTGCTGATCTATTATAGAAATCACAACTTGCACATTCATTCAGCAGATAAATATTGAGCCCATTATGTTTGCCAGGCATGCTGGACATTTAGTGATTAAAAAAATAATGACCCAGTTCTTGCAGAGCTTATAGTGTAATACATTAGATATCATAACAGAAAGAAGTCACTGCCTATGTTTCTGTACAAGCAAAGCAAACTGGAAAATTGAGTCAATATCCCTGATAATTCAATTCTAAAACAAAAAGAGGAAAGTGATTCCCATTTCAAGGAGACTGATCAAGTCTCCTTGAAAATTACTTTAACTCATTGTATTCTAATCTCTGCCTAGGCAGCCATGATCTTACAAGTCCTTTAATAGAACTATCTGATGATTTTTACAAAGTTGAACTGCTACAGAATTTGTAGAACTAATCTAGAATTTCTACCTCATGTATATTCTCTCATTCAAATTCTAAAAGAAAGAGACTGTTGCTTTCTTATCTGCTTATCATCCAATATCAGATATACAATAAATCTTTAATGGACAATCTGTTCTATAATACAAAATCATCATAGTTATGATTTTTTTCATATTTTGAGGTGGTTGAATTAAGAAACTGCCTGGTCCAAGGTAGAAATGAGCAAGTTACTTTGTTTAAAAACAGTTTTGCCTCCAGAAAATTACCCATAGGTGACTTCATCATGGACTAGAATATTGAGAAAATTAATCTCATATGTAACCTCATGTTAAGAAAATAAGCACATCAGCCTGGCACAGTGGCACATGCCTGTAATCCCAGTGGCTCAGGAGGCAGAGACTGGAGGATCACAAGTTCCAGGCCAGCCTCATCAACTTAGTGAGATTATAAGCAACTTAGTGAGACTCTGTCTCAAATAAAAATTAAGAAGGGCTGGTGGTGTGGCTCAGTGGTAAAGGCCCCTGGGTTCAATCCCCAGTACCAAAAAAAAAAAAAAGGAGAGGAAAAAAAGGCATATCAACTACAACACACTCAACTTACATGAATTAAAGATACTTGTATTTAATTCTTCTATTGAAAACACTTTACTCTGGCCTAGAACAATCTTCATCTTCAGTGTTAATAATCAGATATCCTCTTTCTCTGGTAGTGTTGATCAAATTCTTGGAAAAGGGCAAATCACATCAGACAAGAAGAGCCGAGAGAAAATAACAGCAGAACATGAGACCACAGATGACCTCAGTATGCTCGGCCGCGTGGTCAAAGTTGAAAAACAGGTACAACTCAACCACACTAATTAACTTCTAAGCCAGATTTTTTTTATCAAAATATATTACAGGCAATTGGATCTTTTGTAATGATTGACATATTTAAAAGGAATGAAAATAGGGCAAAAGAGGTTGCTTAGTAGTAAAGCACTTTCCTAGAATGTATACACCTAGGGATAAGGGATAGATAGATAGATATAGATATAGATATAGATATAGATATAGACAAAGATAGATAGATAGATATTCTCTTAAAAATACATATATATATATATACATAATTTTATATATATTTTCCACAAGGAATATAGATAGATAGATAGATATTCTCTAAATAATACATATATATTATTTTATATATATTTTCCACATGTATGGAAATATAGTTTATATATTTATATATATAAAGGGAAAAAAATAAATGAACAAAATAAAGAATGAATGGTGTTAAACTTCCTCAGTACATTGACAGTATTCTCCAAAACATCTCTTTGGATTTCCATATAAAGAATATAAAATTTTATGAAGCAACTATAGATTTTCAGTAGTAAAATAGCAAAGATCTACTTGTCCTTTGTGTTTTGGTTATTTTTATTGGCCTTTAGGTCACTCTTTTTAAAAATAAGGTAGAACATGTGATAACACATTGAATTTTTGGTAACCCCGAGTGTAATCTTCTCATATAAAAACAATTTTTCAGGGCTGGGGATATAGTTCAGTTGGTAGAGTGCTTTCCTCCCATGTATAAGGCCCTGGGTTCAATCCCCAGAACCACACACACACACAAAAAAAAAAAATTCCAGAAATCAAATTGTTCTCCCAAAAGAATCATAAATACTCCAAGTATTAATCCTGAAGCATTTTGTGCCTTTATTTTTAAACTCAGACTCACCTGGATTGATACTTAGGTCTTAATTTCACTATAGAATAAATTCCTTATTAAAATGCAGTCAGGTTCCAGAAAGTGGATCAATGGGGCTGGGAAAGGCAATCTGACTGGGTTGGGGAACCTTCAAGTCACATTTTTATAGTGCTTATATACCTTTTCAGAACACCAATCATCCATTTTAAGGAAGTGGAGGGGGCTGGCCAAAGGGAATTATATGGAAGCCGAAGTATCTCTCCCCCTTTTTAACCTTCCCTGCCCCATCACTGCCAGATGCTACATTCACTGAGTCCAAACTGCATTTCACTTTACACTCTATTTATTTATTTTGTATTGACACACTCTGTGATTTTAATTCCAGAAGTGAGATTCATTCTTCACAGCAGGTCGTCCTCATATGTAACCATTTCCCTCCTTTTAGGTCCAGTCCATTGAGTCCAAGCTGGACTGCCTGCTGGACATCTACCAACAGGTCCTCCGGAAAGGCTCTGCCTCAGCCCTCACTTTGGCTTCATTCCAGATCCCATCTTTTGAATGTGAACAGACATCTGATTATCAAAGCCCTGTGGATAGCAAAGACCTGTCCAGTTCTGCGCAGAACAGTGGCTGCCTAACCAGATCAGCTAGTGCCAACATCTCGCGAGGCCTGCAGTTCATTCTGACGCCAAATGAATTCAGCGCTCAGACTTTCTATGCGCTTAGCCCTACTATGCACAGTCAAGCAACCCAGGTGCCAATGAGTCAAAGTGATGGCTCCGCAGTGGCGGCCACCAGCAACATTGCAAACCAAATAAATGCGGCACCCAAGCCAGCAGCTCCAACAACTTTACAGATCCCGCCTCCTCTCCCAGCCATCAAGCATCTGACCAGGCCAGAGACTCTGCACCCAAACCCCGCAGGCTTACAGGAAAGCATTGCTGACGTCACCACCTGCCTTGTTGCCTCCAAGGAAAATGTTCAGGTTGCACAGTCAAATCTGACAAAGGACCGTTCCCTGCGGAAAAGCTTTGACATGGGAGGAGAAACTCTGTTGTCCGTCCGTCCCATGGTGCCCAAGGACTTGGGCAAATCTTTGTCTGTACAAAACCTGATTAGGTCGACAGAGGAACTGAATTTACAGCTTTCAGGGAGTGAGTCAAGTGGCTCCAGAGGCAGCCAAGATTTTTACCCCAAGTGGAGGGAATCCAAATTGTTTATAACTGATGAAGAGGTGGGTCCCGAAGAGGTAGAGACAGACACTTTCGATGCCACCCCGCAGCCAGCCAGGGAAGCTGCTTTTGCATCAGACTCTCTAAGGACTGGAAGATCCCGATCATCTCAGAGCATTTGTAAGGCAGGAGAAAGTACAGACGCCCTCAGCTTGCCTCATGTCAAACTGAAATAAGCTCTTTGTTTTCTTTCTAGGCATAGCAGTTCCTTTAGCCATACATATCATTGCATGAACTCTTTTGAAAGCCCTCCTAAAAAGTTGAAATTGCAAGAATCAGGAAGAACATGAAAGGCAGTTTATAAGCCCGTTATCTTTTAATTGCATGAAAATGCATGTTTAGGGACGGCTGAAATTCCGAGGTGCATCGACATTAACCCACTCATTTAGTAATGTACCTTGAGTTTAAAAATCATCAGAAACCAAACACTGCTAATGCTATGGGGTATATGAAAACGTCAAGATTAGGTGATTTAGAAGTTTCAACACTGTACTTTGAAATTGTGGAAGAAAACACTTTCAAATTTCAGGCATTTCTGCTTTGTAACTAAATACGAAATACATTTTCAAAATTAGGCCATAATGTGTATTTAAACATAATGGCTCTCAATAGCTGCTAACAAGGTATCAAGTAAAACAGAATTTGGGAATAACAGAAATGGCTGCTTATTTCAAGATATATTTGCCAACCCATTTCTATTCAGTCATTTTATTATTAATGTAATTTGAGTGTCAGTTTGTACGCTTTTGGTGATTTAGCGCTGTGGCAAGCAATTTTGCACATCATTTTCATGTTGTTCTTTATGACAAGAATGTTTTTCATTTAGAAAATTTGCAAATAATGAAATTCAGGACCAGCAGGGCAAATAGACTCACTATCTGACATATTTGACTTTATGGAAACATATTCCCTGATGGCAGATTCAACTCTAAATGAGTGGTCAGCTTCTATACACATGCATGAAACACTGATGAGTAGAATAGCCAGTGTGACTGGGCATCTCTGCAATGGCACCAACCCCAGGTTTGCCAATCCTGGCCACATGAAGGGCAAGTGTGAGGAGCTATTGCTATTTAGCCAACACACAGGTGGGACCCTGGGGAGGGGGACAGTTAAGTGGAACTGAGAGAAAAAAAAAATGCTTAAAAAGAAGCCAGAAATAACACCAGGAAGTAGACAATGTTCAGAAAATTACTTCTCCCTTAAAAGGCAGTGAGAGGGAAGGAGAGAAACAAACCAAAATAAAAGAAATCAATTTTTTGGATAATGAGTATTGCTAGGGAATTCAACTGCCTAAGCATCCCTTATTCTTATATAGAAACAGAGAATTTTGCAAGTTATTTATTTTTTAATATACCCTGAATGTCTTTTGCTATTATGTCTTACATTTTTGCATATGAAAGGCTAAAACTAAAGGTTCCTTTACTTTTTATACTGTAGTAAACACTTTATATTGTCCCTGAGAATGTTGTCCCAAATCTAAAATTACCAGTTTGGTTTCCTTGTATAAACATTCACAATTAAGAAGCCAGATAGCACTGCAGGGTCCGCTAATCACCACACTTAATAATATATCAGTGCAGCAAAAAGATCAGGGAAAGGAAAATTAAAATGCATTTAGCAGAAAGTGAAAAATGGCCAGGTGCTGTGACGCACTGTATTCTCAGCAACTCAAGAGGCCGAGGCAGGAGGGTCGAAAGTTCCAGGTCAGCCTCAGCAATTTATTGTGGCCCTAAGCACCTTAGTGAGACCCTGTTTCAATATAAAAAAAAAAAAGAATTAAAATAACTAGAGATGAGGCTCAATTGTAAAGTGCCTCTGGGTTCAATTCCCAGTACAAAAAAAAAAAAAAAAAGAAAGAAAGAAAGAAATGCAGACTGGTTTTTAGAAACCTAGCTCTCTCAGATGATCAGAACCTGGGCCACAGACAAAGAGAGGTAAAAGAACATTTCAAATCAATTAAACTCAAGAAAGGAAAGGAAGAGTTTTTCCCTTGGCAAACCTCTGAGCTGCCTCCAGGCAAACTTTTCCAGCAGCCAGGGAAAATGACCAGGAATAGTAACTGGCCATTCAAAGAAAAGAGGCCCTGAAATCCAGCAATCCTTCCCAAGTCGCCCCTAACAGAAGCTTCTCTATCACTGACTATCTTTTCTTCTTCCTGGATTGCTTATTTATTCCTACCACTATTTTGCTTTGAAATTTCACTAGGCCTTACCCAGCACCCATCCCCAACTAAACCAGTTCTGCTCTCTACCTAAAAATGCTTTTCAACATTTTTAAAATTTTTGTCCCTTTTGATAAACACTGAAATTTTAAAAGCTTCCTCTTCTCACCCCACTTGGATCCTAATACAATCCCTTGGAGTGTATCATTCAGAACCTTCTTGGCTACTGGAGATACACAGAAGATAGAATCTAAATTTTACACTCCAGTTAAAAATATTTTGTCAAGCTTTGAAGGTTATTATTTTCATTTGCCAAACATAGAATGTTAGTCAATTATTAAATGCAAATTTTCATCTACCCTTGTCTCTACTCAACCTGAAGTTCTGACATATCTTCCCAAGGACATTGCACACACACACACCCATCCACAGACCTAAAGCCAGACACCTGCCCTGTACTCAGCAGGTTCTCTCCAAATATTAGCAGAGGAAGAAGAGGTAGGCAGCGCCTTTCAGGTAGCACTGATTCTTGGACATACTCTGTCCCAGGTTGAACCCCACTGGCAGCAGGAATTCTGAATGTATCAGGGACCCCTTCTTAGGCCTTCTTAGGCCTCGAACACAGAACAGTTGATCCAGCATTGCTAAAGACTGAAGATTCAGAAACAATGCCTAAACACATCACTGAGGTCTTAATCATAGCAAAATATGATAAATTATATTGTGGAAAACTTTTATGCATCTAAGCCATGACCATCTTACTCTCGCACAAAGAAAAAATCTCTTGGATGTTAAGATAGTTGTATAATGTGAAAACTGTAGATTGTCTGTTGTGTCACTCTATGGAAATGAGAGGGGTCTCCCATTTACACTTAGCAAAACCCCATTGGTCAATCCCAAATGGTGTCTTGAAGCACAATTTTGCTGAGTACTGAGTAGCCACAAGCTTTCTCAGTTCAGGTTTGTCTGCCTTCTTCAACATGTAGGCTTGATCAAGCTAATAATTAATTGCAAATATCCCATGTATGAGGTTAATTAAAAATTTTTGCTGTGTCTTCTCTAAATGTTTGCATTTTGTTCAATTAAATTGATACCTGTAGATTGCAAGTTTTGTTTAAAGTAAGAAACTTTCCTCAGTTTTTAAGTCCTTATCTCTTATTCTAAGGTGCCTTTCTCACCTCCCACAGACTCAGTGATTTCGAAAGTTCTTAATTTGAAAGTCAAACAAGCCTAATAATGAGAAGGAAATCAGGCACTAAGTGATTAAGTCTCCTACCCATGTGCAAAGCAAACTGCAAAGAATGAAGAAACCTGGGCGACTAAATATATGGATCATTTCATTCAATCACATTGAGGAAATATTGCAGATATTAACTTAACTCCCCAGAAGCTGATATTTTTTGCCTTAAATGACATGGTTGTGTTTTTGTAAGAGAAACTTAATATAATTATGTGCATTTAAGTGAGCAATTCTAAAAGTCATGTACGACAATGCAATTGTCTGTTTCCTGAAAACAAATAAATCAGGAATATGGTATCCATTTCAAGCTATCATTAAAATGTAATTTCCTTTGCTCTCTTTTACTGGGATTATTTGTTTTAAAGTAAAACATTAAAAAGATGTCTATAAACGGCTAGTGTAAACATTTTATCTGGAACTAACTGGTTGGTTCTGATCTCATTGATCCAAGTTAACCAAACTGATTGCAATTTTGGTACTGAAATATAAAAATTAGCTTTTTGTAATGTTGCTAAAGAAATCTTTGGTAATTTGAAAGTGGAGGAGATTTTCATGTGTTCTTTAGAGTATTATAAGAAAAATTCATTTGCTATAGATCACGTAAGCTTTGTGTTAATTACAAGTTGAGTATCCCTTGTCTAAGATGTGTGAGACCAGAAGTACTTTGAATTTTGAATTTTCTCAGATTTTGGAATATTTGTATATACATAATGATACGTCTTCAGGATGAGATCCAAATCAGAACATGAATTTCATTTATGTTTTATATATACCTTATATGTAAAGCCTGAAGATAGTTTTATACAAATTCTTTTTTTTTTTTTTGTACTGAAAATCAAACCAAGGGCCTTGCAAATTCTAGGCAAGCATTCAAGCATTCTACCATTGAGCTACCATCCCCAGCTTTTTACAAAATATTCTTAATAATTTTGATAACAAAACAAGGTTTCATGATATGGAATTTATATAAGTACTCAAAAAGTTTTGACATATTCTGGATTCAAGCTTTCAGATCAGGAATTTGCAGGGGAGGGGCATGCTGTGGATTGAACTCAGGGATGGTTTACCACTGAGCCACACCCCCAGTCCTTTTTATGTTTTATTTTGAGACAGGGTCTCATCAAGTTGCTTAAGACCTCCCTAAGTTTCTGAGGCTAGCCTAGGACCTATGATACTCAGTCTTCTGAGTTATTGGGATTGCAGTTGTGTGCCACCACAGCCAGCCAGATTAGGGATATTTAACCTGAGTAATAAAAAGGTTTGCTAAACAAGTGATAAGAAATGGAAACCAGGTGAGTGCCCAAATTCTGCCATTTCTGGTTACTAAGAACAACTATTTTTAGTACCTAACCCTGTCTTACCAGGGAAGGCTCCTGCTCCAAATGGGACTATATCCCAGTTATTTCTGTTGTGCTAACAACTTTCTGCTACATGGCTAGGATTAATTCCCGTGGAATTATTCTCAAGAAGTCCCAGGATATTGGAACTCTGAATCCAAAGCCAGAAAGCTCTAACTGGTGTTATACACAGGGGGAAGAACAACAAAGGACTACTACCTTGAAGGAGGAAGGAGCTTCCCATTATGGCTCTAAAAACATCAGAGGTGTGCCTGTTCAATCAACCTCTAGACAAGTGAAAATAAAAATGTGTACACAACATGCTTACTTGACCAACTTGTAAATGCAAACTGATTCCAAACATTTTTAGAACTACTTTGTAAACAGTAACATCCAGCCCTAACTCTTAAAAGCAAAACATATTTTACCCCAACCATGGATTTAAAAAAATGTAGGTTTCTAGACCTTAAAGTGGCAATTTTTATTAGCCTGGTTTCAAGTGCCTCAACAATCAGACACAATTATTTCTTTAAAAAAATTTAAATTTTCATTAGCTATAACAATACTTCTCCCTCTCACCAACCTAATTCCATATTATTGAGGGTTTCATTATATTTCAAAGCAGATGTTTTTCAAATACATTATATGTACTGCCCTGGAAATCACAGCACCATAAAACTGTCAAGTGACAAAATTTTTCTTTTCAAATAAATAGAAAAACCCAAAAGAACATTGGTTTAATATGTTATTCTGCCCACTCATGGTTCGTGTCAGTTCTGCCATAATTTTGGGTGACTACTGAAAGTACATATGCTCTTGAAGAGATGTCAGGGTTCTACGGCTCCCATATGTGGTAAGAGCACTCACTCCTACTTTTAAACATTTCCACCTTTATGCTTTTTCTCTTACCTTAAGTGACTTTGCATACTAGCTTTTTCTTCCTTCTCTTTGCCTGCATTGTTATGACTGGCTTCATAGATTTCCAATCCCTGCAGATCCTTATAATCCCAAATAACTAGGCACTCACATTCTCCTTGCTGCAGCTGGCAGGGCCACTTGCCCTAACATACGTCATGAGAATGGCATGCCACATAGACTCCAAAAGCAGAGATGCTTTGGGGAACCAATGGAACTCCTCACCTGAACCCTCAGGGTAATGCTCTGATGCCCTCTCCTGTTTCCAGGCATCCCACTGCTGGGTGGCAGGGGAGGCCTCCATCACTACTCCAGGATGGGAACTCTTTGCCTTTAGAAGAGACTATTTCTGCTCTTGGGTTCCCAAGACCATGGTTGTCCCATTAGCCTTTCCCATTCCCATTGCTGCAGCATCTAGCTCTCGCTCTTTCCCCTCATATGCTTAGCCTCTGGTTACCAGCAACTTTCCAGTCTCCTCCCTTCCGCTTCATTGTGCTCTATACCTCATCTTCACACAGCTCTGTAACTAGTAACAGCATTTCAGTTAATGACGAACCAAATACACCACAGTGGACCCATAATATTTAAATGCAGCTGAAAAATTCCTATCACCAATTGACATCATAACCATGATAATGTGGTAGCTCAATGAATGCATGTTCATGGTGATGCCAGTATAGACAAACCTAATGCACTGCCAATGGTACAAACGTATAGAGCATACAGTGAGGAATAGTACATAACATTTGAGAATGATAATAAACAACTACATGACTAATTCTGTATTTACTATATTAAACTTTTATTATTATTTTGGAGTATACTTCTATTTATAAAAATGTTTACTATAGAACACTGATATATGATAATGCAGCAGCCTCAAATATGTTCTGTTTACCATGCTTCTTGGTTGCATCAAAAGGCCACATTGAATGACTGACCTAAATACATCCTGTGATGTTTGCATGATGAAATTACCCGACAGCCATTTCTTAAAACTTAAGCCATCATTCCAGGTGTGGTAGCACATGCCCATAATCCCAACAACTCAGGAGCCTGAGACAGAAGAATTGCAAGTTCAAGGCCAACCTGGGAACTTAGTGAGACCTTGTCTCAAAATAGAAAATAAAAAGGACTGGGATGTAGCTCAGTGGTAGAGTACCCATGGATTCAAACCCAGTACCAAATAAATAAATAAATAAATAAATAAATCCCATCATGAAGGTATGTGTGATTGTGCTTATAAAATAAATGATAGAAGGAACTTTCATTTCCACAGCATCCATATACTAAACATGGCAGTCAGACTCATCCCCACCCTTCACCACAGAAAAACTGCTTTATGAATTCATCCATGATCTTCTACAAGTTGATTCCATGGACACTCACCCTTTGAGGTCTTTCTATAGTAATTGACACCATAACAAGAGCTGGAGATGTAGCTCAGAGGTAGAACACTTTCCTAGCATGTGCCAGGCCCTGGGTTCAACTCCCAGTAGTGCAAAAAAAAAAAAAAAAAAAAGCAATTCACAACTACTCTTTATCTTAAAACGCTCTCATCTTTCTGAATGAAAGTCTGTCTCTAAATATAAAGGAGGGAAAATGTTTTTCTGTTCTCTCACTCAAGGATTCACACAGAAGGCTCCTATTTCTCCCCACCAACAACCAATCAGTCCATTCTGCAGCGGACACCAGCTGAGCCTCTTCCAGTTCTACTTAGTAGAACTCCAATCACCCTGGAGATAGCATCAGATCCCACAAGCTGACAGCTCAGTTCCACAAGACTGCCCCCCGCTTCAGACGCTCATCACAAGTAATAGTGCCATAGGTTAAAACTTACACCTGCTATAGACTGGAATTCCTGCTACCCTGTACTTAGGTTTCACTAATTCACAAAAGTCAGAGAAACAATTTATTTACATTAGCTAATTTATTTTAGTGGATATTCCAAAGAATGCAGCTGCCAGTTTATTTTAGTGAATATTACAAAGAATGCAGAAGAAGAGATTCATAGGACCAGGTTATGTGGCAAGGTAAGAAAACTCTTCCAAGAATCTCCGTATGCTTGGCTCTCCACCATCTCCCAGAACTCGATTGTTGTGGGCGTTTTTGTTTTTGTTTTGTGGGGAGGGGAGAAACAGGGATTGAACTCAGAGGCATGCAACCACTGAGCCACATCCCCAGCCCTATTCTGTATTTTACTTGGAGACAAGGTGTCACTGAGTTGCTTAGCACCTTGCTTTTGCTGAGACTGGCTTTAAACTCGCAATCTTCCTGCCTCAGCCTCCAGAGCTGCAACGCCCAGCCAATCCTTGGCTTTTTATGGAAGCTTTATTACATTATGTAGACGTGATTGATTGATTGAATGCTTGGTCTTTGGTGATCAGTTTAACCATTAGCATCCCTGGGGATGGAAAGGGAAATTAAAAATTCCAACCATCTAATCTCTCTTGTCCTTTTCTGTCACCAGTCCCCACCCTAAACTATCTAATCCTATCTTCATCTTCTTATTAGTATACAGAAAACACTAAGGGGCACAGGGCTGTAATCCCATCAACTAAGGAGTCTGAGGCAGATTGTCTCAGCAATTTAGAGAGACCCTGTCTCAAAAATAAAAGGGGCTGGGGATTCAGCTTAGTAATAGAGCACCCCTGGTTTCAATCCCTAGTACTGAAAAATAAAAATAAAAATAAAGATAAAACACCCTCACTGTGGAGATTCCAGTGTTTCAGGAGCTGTATGTCAGGTGACCACTGGACAATATCAGAGTCCCCTACGTCTCTGGCTTGCTCATCTTTGACTTCTCTTTATTGATCTTTGGCTCGTGACAGTCTGCATTCAGTGGATTTCCTTCCAACGAACGAAATTTCCTCCTCACACTCATGCTCTCCCCAGGGGTCTCACCCATGACCTCAACTATGAGATGATCTTAGCTAGTCACGAGTCTCCAGCTCAGAGTTCCCTCCTGCTCATGCATAGCTTCATTAGAACACAGTGTCACCTCAAAAATCCTAGGGCAAGATGATTTGAGAGCAGGAACATTATACTCACAAGGTGCCTTTGGCTTCTCACACCTCCTGCAAAAGGCACTCTATATGTTAAAGAATAAAAGTTTCTTGTTGGCTCTGGGCTTTTTATTCAGCTCAACTACTTCCAAACTCCTAAATTCAGAGGCCTTCAGCCAAGTGATTGTTGTGAGCTGCTTACTTGAATAATAACTCAGAGGCGGATCTCCATGCCAGCAAAAATCTGTCACACTCCTTAGATGACACCCACACCTAGACTCTGCCCATTTATCACGAAGACTGATTACCCCCCAGACTTTGCTATAGACTCTAAGGGAAAAGGGAGACTATTCTCCCTTCCCCTGCCCCTGAGCCCTAGAACACTACATTCCTGCTTCCCCCTTGTCTTGGCTCTTTCCTACCAGGGCCAGGCCCATCCTATGGAGTCTTGGCTTACAGTAACAACCCATGCCTAGTGACAGCCCTGTATTATGTCAATACGTGATTCCCAGTTATTTTCTCACTTGATCCATCTTACCAAAGGTTAATGCACCAGTTAGGATGGATTTGGCTA